TACTTCTGCATGCTGTAGATTTTCATCACCAACCACCACTAACTCGTTCATTTACAGGTCATGTCTCTCTTGGGCCGGAATAGCTTCAATCCACCGGCCGTGGTGGACAACGGGACGACGACACCTAGCGCCGCCAAACCCGATGGCTGGCGCCCGGGCACGCTCAACAACTACTCGGCGATCCAGAAGTGCTACGAGGGCGTCTCAGCCTCGTACCACAGGCGACTCGACGACTCGCAGTTTGACGACGCGTTCGCCGTCGTGGACGCCGTGAGGCTGGCGTACGCCGCCAAGCGCGAGTACGACGTCGACGTCGTCCGCAGGAACGAGAAACGCCTGACGGACTCGAACGCGGCGTTCTTCAAGCTCGCCTGCCTCTCGTTGTGCGCGTCTCGAGACGTCGTCCAGGACGCCAACACGCTGGACTTCGAGGCGTCCTACGCGGCTTGCCTGTTCGGCGTTTCCGCCTTGCCGCAGTTCGCCCAGGCTTTTCAATGTCGTAGCGGAGACCGCATGTGGAATTTAAACCGATGTTGTGTCGACTAGACAATAAGACCCGCCCAAAGCCCGCTTCTTTTTTTTTTCTTTCTTTTTCGAGGGCTGTCGGTGCTCTTGTGTTTTTTTTTTGTTTTAATCTAGACTTTCGGCATATAAATGTCCACTCGATTCGTTTTCTGCCTCCATATATGACCACAAAGAAAGATGAAATGTAGGTACACAGTCAGAAGCTCCCCTACAACGAACGCCATTTCAACTAAGTGGCCTATATAACGAAGTGCTTCGCAGGTCCCAAACACTTCTTTATGAAGGTGTCTTACTTTATCATTCATGGACAAGTGTTTATGGAACTCGACTGCTGACCCGAAGATCGCGGGTTCGAATCCAGACCGTGGCGGGTGTAATTTGATGAAGGCAAAAAGCTAGAGAACCATGCTTTTTTTATTTAACCCCTTATGCTTAACGAATATTGAGTGTTTAATTTTTTTTTGTTTAGACAATCATGAACACACCAGTCACTTACCCAGAAGGTAGCACACAGGGCTCGTGCTCCCCGCCCCCCGCCCATCCCTCCTTCCTCCTCAAGAAAAAAATTCTGGCTATGCCTCTGGAACATGCACAAAACTAAAAGGGCATCTTTTTCGACATTTTTATAGCTTGTATTACAGGTAATGTGAAGTGTTCAAATACGAGGATGGCATGCAGTTAAGAACAGTAGTCGTTCTTGCACTTCAAGAAATTAGTGGGGAAAATGCATATGTAATAAGGCATAAGCGCACAATCAAAGCAAGGCAGAAATAAATGCAGAGAGACGTCCCGACGAAAATAATTCTTGAGAAGGCTTGTTCGCAGGACAGCCAAAGAAACCAACCAGCTGAAAATGGGCCTAGGTTGTGTAGCAGAAAAAAAACTGATACATAATAGATATAAAGCTAAAATCTAGCTGTGTAATTGAACGTCAGCCATACATGCATATTATTTGATGTCCAATTTAATAAATACATTTATTGATATGTGGGGTTTAACGTCCCAAAAAATTCAATAAATAGGAAGGTAATAAATTTATCACCATGGCAGCGTCTTGTCATGTAGTATATATCACGTACATGACAATGGCGTCGTGCTATTCACGTCACAAGTTATAATGTTGGCCATCTACTAATGTTACGTTATGAAAACTTGGTTTACGTCAGTTGCTAAACGGCTGCGAAATCGTATATAACATACGTGACATCATTATACTTGTCATGTCCTGTAATTTGTTTGTCATACGCATATTTGGTACCTATTCCAGTATATATCAAGTGAATGAAGCGGCTGTCAAATGACAAGACCTGTGTTATGTTGCCATGACGTGCATATTATGCATGACAGGTTATGTTAAACCAGTCATTTGTGTTATGTACCCACGTCATGTACTGTCAATTTAAGTATATATTACTAACTAGATCAAGCCGCACGAGAGCTCGAAACGCTGCTTTATACTTACCGTGAGGTGCGTGACATGATTTAATGTTATAACCTGTAATTTACAATTGTCCTGTGTCACACGAGCGCGCAAAAAGGTCTTTTAAGTAAGCGGTCTTTTACGAAGTCGAAAGACTTTTAACAAAGAGGTGTCATGCCATGCGTATTTCGGTGTAAGTCAAACGGTCGTGAGGTCACGAAGACCGTGTCATGAATATTGTAACGTATACGGCATACATTCATGTTATGACCAGTCATTTATGTTCATCATACGCTCCTGTCATACCATGCCAGTTTCGGTATACAACGAGTTAATGAAGCAGCCACGAAAGCACGGTGGTGTACATTAACATATATATAGATACGCAATAATTTGCTTTGGCTTGACAAGAATTGCTCCACATTTAATAACAAAAACCTTACCCATACATGTTACGAAGAATATACACACAAGCCGCATCATCAGTAAAGAAAAACTGAGTCGTCCAGAGTGCCAGATATCAGGCCGTCATGCTCGGCTTGGCGGTCTCTACGTGGGACTAGCCGGGGGGCACGGGGTGTCTTCTGAGTTTTTTCTGGACCAGATACCGTCAGTTGATAATTATCATCCCTATAATTGCTGCACGTCGGGCTGCGCCTGCGAACGGGAATGTCCGAACCAAGATGACGCCAACAAAAAGCTGTGCTGCCATTGTTTTGGGAAAACTTGCGTATTGTGCCAATTAGCGCAATGCTTGAACGACGGCTACTGCATCCCAATATCACGAACCGATTTCACTTTTGCGACCTTTGCGTATCGATTGTGTGCGTGGCTGAAATAAGAAAAAAGCAGACGTCACAACCATTGCGCCAAACATCGCCGATCCAGTGCAACACTACTATAATGATAAATTATAATTGTTGCACGTTAGAAAAGTAAGATATGATTTGGAAAGATGCAGTATAGCGGAGAGCTGCGAAAACACGTGCCCCATATGAGGGCGACTTCATAAAAGTTAAAATAGCGGCAAAAGCAACGCGAAAAATGCATTCCTCCTCATTTTGGTAGCTTCCGAGGCATTTTATTTTCAAAACAAGTTTTGAAAAGCATATTAGGAGCTAAAGAGACCGACGAGAAAGCTTTTCTCCGTGACGAGATGACCAAGTAACTCGTTCAACGTGTATCCAGCTATGCTGACCAAAAGCCTGAAGGGAAGATGAAGCAGTAAAAATTGATAAGTAAGTACATATGTGCTAGTTTGTTATATTGAAATACTTTCTTAGTTGTCAAATCTTTGTTTACGTTCTTTGTACTTGTTCTAACAGGAGGTCCCCCGGAAAGTTTTCACCTTGGGACCTCCTCCTGTATTATATGCATTTTTTTCTATTGCATTGTAATAGAAAAGTTCAAAAAATTCAAAAAGATACGCATAATTAGGATGACGACCCCTTTATTATGATAAGCACATCAGTGCAGGGGACCGCATGAAACCAATGGTGACCAGAAAGATATGTTTTATCATCTACTCAACACAATTGTTGTGAACACAGTGCATACCCTACGGAGATAAAAATATTATGGGCCACCTTGATTTTGTGTAGCCGTGTAGCCAAAGTTGTTGTCCATTGCGGCGACGTAGTATCAAGAACGGAAACGATTAGTCCAGCGAATCCCACCTTCCTGTAAAAAAAAAAAGAGGTTTCTATGTTGTGTAGAAAGGTATGATGGTGGTGGTGTTTTTTAGAAGACCAAGCGGAAGTAGGCCTAGCGTTGTCGCAATCCGTTTTGCTGCGGCACCTCCGTTAGCTAATTGCAATAGTGCACTTCCTCGGAAAGCGCTGTTTTTGTTGTGCCAGTGAGCGAAGAAGACAGCGTTACTGTTCCTGTTGAGAGAGAGAGAGTGCAATCAGCTTAAACTATATCCCAGTGCAGATGCTCATATTGCCCCATGGCAACTCCCACGTACGTGGCCCTGTCGGGGGCGCACTAGACGGCCAGGATCTGCCTTAAAGCCCAAGCCTTCACGTTGACGGACGCTCTCGTTGTATGATCACTTGTGTGGAGTGAGAGTGCTTTCTGGTGTTTCCAGTTCACGATTCATTCTCTACGACGTCTCATTTTTGAAGCGACGGTGAAGATAGCACCTCAAGCTCTGGATGAGGCACAATAAACAGCTTATCAATTTTTAAACAACTTGCTTTCATTTGCCTCTTCGAACCATTTTATAAAAATTCAGGCATATAGCACAGAGTTGGCCAAATACTGCGCTTTCAAACTCTGCCGATGTGGCAATTCGCGCCAATCACCGAAGCCTCTCCCTCGACGGACCTCTGAACACCCGGAGAACAAGAAATAATAGCTTGGGCCAACGTTATATTGGCTCGACCAGAGTCATTAAATAGCTTTCCTGGTCCTGGCCGACTCGACTAATCCATCAAAACCATGCAGGATGCCATTAGCTTTTCTTTTTTTTTCCGCGTCGGTAAGTCGGCAATGTTAAAAATAGTACCCACCTAAGCCCCGGCGGCCGCTTGCAAAAAGGTGATGTGCACCTTGAAGAAATAGGCACTGTCACTCCGACAACGCAAGTGCTAGTGACGTCTACGGAGCAGTTCAGTGATGTGTGCAATTTATGAGCGCTTCATTGAGGGCTGTAAGCGAGGTATCTCGATACCAGCGGCGACAGTGCTGTACTAGTCAAGCAACCATTTTTCAAAAAGTACCAATCTTGAAGGCTATGCTTTTACATGTTGAAAGTAACGAAACCGAAACTGACCTAAAGTTTAGCCTTGTTCGAAAGCCCTTGCGTGTGGCATGTCAGCTTTTCAACTGTATACCTGGATACAGTTGCCTGTAAAAAAATGATAGTTTTTTCAGTAATACGGGACTTCAGCTCGTCTTTTAAAAGCTGGAGATGTGTCTTGAACGTCACCTTCACAGACTAACTTAGAGATGTATGTATTTGTCATCATCATCATTTCAGTTCTTGTTTTTGCACTTGTTCTCAGGGGCTCGCTAGATGTTTTGGTTTTGCTATTCATAGTTTTGCTCTTGGGGCGCCGACGGATGACGATCCGCAGTCGTTTTCGTCCTTGAAAAGTTGCTTCCGTTTATAGCGCTGCATGATACAAAGAAAGAAGAATGAAGGAACGCCACCGGTTACTCGTTCGCGTGAATATCTGAGCGACGGAACTCCCTAAACGAGGAAAAAAATGCCTACTACTACTTCGCGTAGCGCGCCGAGTGCGCTGCAGCCGCGCGTCCAGCCTTTCGCAACGTCGACTTGGGATGCGCTTGACAACTCCAACAGCTGACGCGGGACGACTGACTCTTCTTTGTCGCTGAGAAGGCTGGGGCCGCCGCTCTATGAGTGACCCCGGGAGCGCTAATTTGGGCCATGGTGCCAGCGAATGCGTCGGATCAGTCGCGCGATATGGCTTGCTCGTCGCCGCCTTTGACGCCGGCTGAGGGACAGCTGCGAGTGAGTACTACTCGAGTTTCGATCCAGTATGTTGCCGTTCCATGCAGTGCTGTACTTCACGAACGCGGCAAACTTCGTCGGCAACCGTGCGTCGACAGTTCATTGGAGTAATCGGAATCGCAGTTATGGACAGCGAACTTTCCTCATCTCAATTGAGCACATAGCCAAACTCGACGAAGATACTCGATCGCGATCAAAAGTGCATCATGTGGCGCCCAAGTGACGCCGGTGTCAAGCAGGTACCAATCGATCGTGAATGGTTCGTTGGTGCAAGCTGCGCTGGCTAGCCAGCCAATCACTGTACCAACAATCTGATCATGGTGAGTGCTAAGGCCATTTCAGTATCTAACTTCTAGACCGAGATTCGGCTCTCTTCCACTTGCGCAAATGAGCCAATCAGGGTAGAAAAACTTGATCGCGATCGAAAATGCGCCGGGTGACACCCACGTGATGTAGGTGCCTCGCGTCATTGGCCAGCTGCACGGGTGAGCGATGTGATCTTGAACTGGCTCGTTAGTAATCAAGATCGAAAGTGTACGCTCCTTTTGACACCTGTGGTGCTTTTTATCGTGAGCCATTTGGGATTAATTTTTTTTTAGTGCGATTGACTCCTTTCGCAATTGAGCCAATCGTATTCATCATATTTCTTCAAGGACCAACTAAAAGGTGCCAACTGATAGGCATTTGTCGCTACAATCCTGATTGTGCAAGACCAGTGTGGTCGATGGAGTGATTTGTTGGGCGTGTTTACTCGGTCTAACTGCAATATGCAACTGGAATACTTAGAACTCTTACAACTATTTCTTGCACAGACATTTATGAAAATAAAGCATAGTCAAACTGTTGCAACGCCAGCGGTTGCCGAAGTGGACGCAGAACAGCACACTCATCGTCCTTCTCTTCTGTAACGTCCCCTTGGACGAAAGCTCCGGCCTTCTCTTTCACAATCCCCCGATCTCTCCACATCAGGAAAAAAAAAATCGTGGACGTTATGGTATAAGGCGAAGAGTGTTGCAATGCAGGTTCAAGGAGACACGTGCACGTCTTCTCTCTCTTTGTTTCCTCCAGTCCTGACCTCTTCATTAGTTTCATGCGTCATAAACGCTGCTTCTGCGGTGCCATAGTCATGTACGACAGCCTTAGGGCCATGCAACAGTACGACCGAAGACGCCCAAGAACAAGTCTGCAGTATAACAAACAATACGACGGTCCACGAGAAGGAAAAAATTGGCGGATCGTTATGATTACTAAGGCGGAAGAAGTGTTGCAATGCCAGTGGTTGCCGAAGAGGACGCAGAACAGCATGTGCATGCGTCTTCTCTCTCTCTTTGTTCCCTCTCCGTCCCTTTCCCCTCTTTCAAGATATAAGTTTCAAGCGGTCAATAAACGCTGTCTTCTGCCTGGTGACACCGACTTGTTCATGTCTCCAGCGGCATCTCTGCCGCCAACGTAACCCAAACATTATTTCAACACATACCCCTATGAGTGTGCACAAAAGGTAGGGGATGCCCCACGTCTCATCCCAAAGAAGTTTTCTCGAACATCACCCTACAGTTCCAGTGTGAAAAGTCTTTTGAGGCCTTTAGTGACCGTAAAACTGCATCTGCCATGCATAACATGCGGTTTTTGCTGCCATTGGCGAATCATTTCCTCTTCCCATTATCTGCATGTTTAAATAGTACCTCAAACATGTATACCTAATGTAATGTTCAAGCACCATAAGCACTACACCTACAATGTTTGCATGCATTCCTTTTTATCACTTCAACCTATATCAATGTATTGTTCTTTGTTCATTGAACAGATCCTCTGACGAGCATGACACTCAGACGACGAAGACAACATCACAGGTATGAGTGTGTTACATGGTCAGCTGCACGTGCCTTTCTTAGTGTATGTGCACCTTATTTTTTTTAGCTTGCACGACACGCCTTTGAGAATGAAAGGAGTTTGCGCAAAAACATGTACTGTCTGATTGGTTCATACAGTACATAACTAACAAGTGCCTAAGTCGCAATCTGTTTTGGCTCAAGGATAAGTTAGTGCTTGAGTTAATTGCCTTGTAGTTGTAATGCCATCTCTCTTAACGCTTGAACTGCATATGTGCCTTCTGATACCATAGTACCGCAATACAGTAGTCCAAAAGATTAACTTTTCGGTGGAAGCGAAAACGCTGTAAACCCGGGTGCTCAGATTTGGGTGCATGTTAAGGAACTCCAGGTGGTCGAAATTTCCAGAGCCCTCAACTTCGGTATCTCTCACAATGATATGCTGGTTTCGGGACATTAAACCCCGTGTATCAATCAATCGAAATTAATTTTTTGTCAGCTCACTTAATAGTTTATTAAAGTACATATTCAGAACTTCAAGCATTAAATACATAAAAAATAATCGAGTGATAGCATAAAAGGTAACTTACAGCTTCCATGATATTACACAGACATGCAGGTAAACTACTGCTGGCTCAATGGTGTGAAATTGTGGCTCACTTTGAAAGTGCTTTCTCCGTAGTACGACTTAATTTATGGGGCGTGGTTGGGGTAATGTCCACAGCATTTCATCACATGTCACTTTAGAGCAGGAAACCTGGCAGTCTTAGAAGCGCTCAGCAAGAGGTGGCCATATTTTAGCAACAGCAGGAATAAAATTATTGGTAATGTAACAGTCGTGGATTTTGGCTGCACATGTGTGCATAGATAGATAGTTAGATAAATGTTTGTTCTGACAAGTACCATGCTTTGGACGCAACGACGGGTAGGCTTTAAGGGTATACCGATGTTAAAACGTTCTTTTGCTGGTTCTTTTTTGCATTGTTTGGAGGGCCAAGCCCTCCAAAGTCTAAAAAGTGAGCGGGTGAAAATTAAATGAGGTATGTAAAAAAGGTATTGCAGCTTGTTTTTCAAAGCTGAATGAAGTTGCTAGTGTACCTGGATGTCGCAACTCGGTATGAGCTTCTTGTCGTGTGCTCACACTAGATATTGTGACGTGACGACAACCGCTTCACTCAGTGGCTGCATTGGCGATGAATAAGAGGCCATTTTGTGTTTCTTGCCACCTGACGTCATAGCAACTAGCCATGCTGGTGTCTGAAGTCGCCAGAATTATTACTGTAGCCAATGACGCACTAAGGGATATCAGTAGTTGCATCATGCGAAAATGGACTTTAAAAGCAAAATAAAACATCTTGTCGGCATTCACTCAGCTTCACATTTGCTTGGAGCTGTCTTTCTGTACAGGTGATTTGCATGGTGGAAAAAATTCTGCTTCAAAGTTTGGCCTCAGTACCTGTCTAAGAGTTGGATTCCGAATGGCTCTTCACTCACACTCTATAAATTGCATCTGGTGAACGCAGCCTTGCTCGTGGGCCCCAGCCCTGTCATCGCGGCACTGTTTTAATTCATCTCCTCAACATCTCCATGAAACATGCTTTCGGTTCTAGTTGGTCTACTAATTGGTACTCACTTCCGGTTCTAGTTGGTCTACTAATCGGTGCTCCTACCCTTGTCAGTAAAGTCGGAGCACTGTGGCCACATGTGACCGCCAACCGAAACTCGAATGTGCAGGATGGCAAGTCACTGGCTCAACTCTTTGACGGGGGCACGCTGGTATCCCAGTCCTTTGCTCAGTCCCTTCTGCAGAGCATCCTATCGAGTGTTGAGAGTAGAGACCCTGGTGAGTACGCATGTAGCGTGCCAGTGTGTTGGAAGGTAAAGCCTTCTGCTGCCCATGTGTGGAGTGAACATGCACCCCAAATGCAAGTAGGTACCTACAAGAGAGCTTACACTGCAGTGCCACTGAGCACCTCTACGTCCTGTGCAGTAAGAAATGAAATACTCGGTAAAACCTAAGCATGATGTTAGCCCAAAGGTGACCTAAATACACCAAGATCTCAAATTAACAGTGAGTTACATTGAAAAGTTCCTTGATTTGCCTGATACTCTTTCGCTCCGCCATTCAGTATCTGCCACAGTCACTTAAGAAGTGCAAAATGCTTTAAAATGTAGTAATGTACGTGTTGTAATATTCTGCACATACACCCGTCATTGTCAGGCTTCAGTTGACAAGCGCTTCTACTCTAGGGTCATACTCGTTACATCACTGTGTAGACAATCAAATCAAATCATTTATTTCCCAGAAAGAAACAGGTACTGAAGAGGTTCACTGGCTAAAAGCTGTTTATAGACAGCTTGACGAGGCCAGTTAACCCTATACAAGGCAGGTGGGACAATGACAAAGATGTGTGTAAGAATAAAGACCATAAGCTAACATTACAATACCAAATACGGTGTAAGCAAAACATATATATTCATTACTAAGAAACATTCTGATATCAACATACACAGCAAAAAAAACAGAAAAAAAAAGAAACAGATATTTCTCGCTTCGCATCTGACTGATGTGATGTTTTCATTTTGTTGTACCTTGTGGTCTATGTATCCGACAAACATTAAAGCCACCTGAAAATAAAAGCTATGAACTTTGCAGTGCATAAGGACCTACATTGCTTGAGGTTGCCTTCTTTGTAGATTGCTAGTAAACACAGTTTTTCCACAGTTGTTAGCTCTATTTGATTTGTCACAATACTAGACTAGATAATGGTTCTGCTGCTAAACATTGGTTCTGACAAAATCTTTGTCGTCATCTTATTTATTTTGTTTTTGTTTTTAATCTTACAATCTGATTAGTGGTGGCCAATGCCTGGGCGGACACACTACTGGATGTTCTTGAACTTCTACCAAGGGCTACAATATCCCAGCAGGTGGGTCAGGCATCACTGACTCCAGGAATTAATTCAAGATTGTTTGAAAAACATGAAATTTGGGGGGGGGGGGGAAGGGGGAGAGGTGTTTTCATTTCGAGATTGATGATGAGGTGTGCCTGTGACCACAATGAAACTAGATTTATTTGCGTCTCAGTTGAACAACACATTACTTTTTCAGAAAGAAGCATCATTATTAAGGTATGCTGCATGACTTCCACGGTGCACCTTATTTTCTTAAAAACAAAGGAGCAGCAGAAATGAATATTTGTGGCAATTTCAGCTTTACATGGAAAGAACATTATACATCAATGTTCAAAGTATCCAGGTTAGCTGTGTGAAGGGCAGAAGGATCACTGTCTAATACAGTTCACTAAGTTGTCATATACAAACACGCATGTATCATGTCTGCAACTAAAATTGTTTGCAGGTATTGCCTGTGGCAGTGCAGAAGGGGCAGCTGACCCAGTCGCCCCTGTCTCGTCTCGTCTCGTGCCGTATGTTAGGTGCTGTGGCTGCGCTGCTGGAGCCAGCTGTGTAAGTGTTATTAAGCTCTCTCATTTTACATTGAAGACCCAGGTGCCGGAGAATTATAGTTTGGCCCGAAATTGTTTTTCAGTGAGCAATAGGCTTGGGAAGCAAACTTTCAACAAAGGGAAACGTTCAACACACCTTGACTTAAAGGGCCCTTAAATCCTCTGTGAGCTCGAAGACAAGAGAGTTGCTTCTTTCGCATCCCTCGCTACGTTCCTTGCGCTCACTACTCGCCCTCAATACCCTTCGCTGACCGACGCTCCTCCGCTTAAATGCACCTATATACCCCAAAAAGTAGACAGTGAGATGACCGCCACCATAGCTTAGTGATAGAGCATCCGACGCATCATACGAAGGTTGCAGGCTTAGGATCCTGTCGGCGGCAAGTTATCTTTTCGTCAACTTTTTCTTTTTCACTTTTATATTATAAGTTATCCTAATGCACGTCCCCTTACACTTTTCTTTGCATCTTAGGCTGTTTGTTCTCAATAATATAGTGTCTGACAAAGAAAACCATCTCTAAAGTTACTCTTCTTTCCTACATTGATTTATAGGTTTCAAAGAGATTCATGTTAATTAATTGGAACTAAATATCTATTTCTTCTAATGTCATTTATGCATTGTTCTTGTCTAAGTAGAGTAAGCCTAAAGCTGAAAACGTAGTGCAAATTTGTTTTCGGTTATGTTCATTTCGAGCTATAAAATGTTATACTTTTGATGTATCTCGCGGGAAATAGAATGTTGAACTAGTCTTGCATTCAGCGAAGTGGCTATATTCAGCAGTACACTGCAAAATAAAATTAAATAAAGATGTATTTATTAGGTAAGAAGTTCAATTCACCCAGAGCACTATGTGTCGGGCTTTATTTTAGTCGCTAGTTTACACAATTACAGTGAACACAAATGGTGTGCATAGTTGTGTACAATTTGTCTCAGAGTTTTATGACTTTTTTTTAGGTGTACTTATGTTTAGTAGCAGAATAAATGGTTGCAACTTGATTATCCTGTTGGTAATGTCTACAACACAAGCGTACAGAGGGATCTCCTGCCACTGGCCGAGTCCCTATGCCAGGATCCAGACCCGAAAGTCCGGTCCAGTGTGTGCTGTCAGCTGGGGGCTCTCACTCGGTCCGTCGGGTGAGTGCCTACTCTTACCATTATGACGGAGTTCAAGTGTCCCCCTAACCCACCCTGAGATCGAAATTTAGTTGCTGCATTGCCATTGTGCACGAATCGTCAACGAGCACGTAGCCACGAGAAATTTTCAGAATGAGGTCGTAATAGCGAAGTCACGTGTGTTCGATGATCGAAAAGAGGCACCCCCGCTTGTTCTGCACTTTCTTTCGCTAGGCTCCGTTCGTTGGCTCGTCACGCCTTCTGGCCAAGTGCACCTTTTATGAGGAAGAGTGTTGAACGTGCTTACCTGTGAGCTAACAGACAGGTTCATTTTTTTTTTGGATGACATCACCAAACGTGACAGTTCACGTCATGGCCAATGCTGGCGATCACCGAAAGGCCCGTAGAGAAAAAGGGAACTTTTTCTTCTTTTTTCGACTTCAGAGCGCAGCCGAGGCTAGTAGTGCTGTCACAATCGGCATTGTTGTTCGTGTTGGCATTATGAACTTGATACACATGTTTACTTGAAATGCTTACTTGAAACTGTGCTACACTAAAGGAATGATTTACAAAGACATGGAAGTGCAGGTTAGGATAGCAGAGAGCTTAGTAACATTGAAAATTGGGTGAGTTAGGGATAGTTCATGTTTACTTGTAAAGCAATGCATGAAGACAAGGCACAAAAGGAATGAAAAGACAGGACTAACGCTGCCGAAGTTGTCCTGTCTGTTCATTTTCTTTGCGCCTTGTCTCCATTCACTGCTTTACAAATAAGTGTAGAGCTTGTTGATGTGGTGCGATTCCTGAATTCAAAGTTCCTGTATAGACTTCTAAACTGGCATAAAATTTCCTGTATATGCATATATATAAATGCATATATGTAAATGGCATAAACTGGCATAAAAGTTCCTGTATAGACTTCTAAACTGGCATAAAATCGGAGTGACCAGAGGCGTGAAAGAGGCCATTGATATACACAGAATGAAATCTACGTCAATGATAATGGTGTAGTGATGCACGGCAGGGATTTCTCAGTGCTACATATGGTTTGCAGGCTGGGATTGACAAAGCAGTACCTAATGCCTTGCCTGCTGGAGCTGTCGGGTGACGGGGACTGTGCCGTTCGACGTGCTGCTCTGGAAGCTACCATCACCATGCTAGGCCTTTTGGATGACGGTATGCTTTCTATTCTTTTCGCTTTTAGTATACTCTCACAACCAAAGAAAAAAAATGAAAAGGTTTGCACAAGAGTGCATCGGAACTTTAATGCTGTTTTGTTAGTTTGGTGTCACACTGTTCTATTTTTTGGTTCGAAGTAAAGTTGAAGAAATTAGTAGTTAGCGTTGAATAACTTCAAAGCGACATATACCGGCAGGATGGAAGTAGTAGTGGGTGCTTATGAGAGGTGAAATATGTTATGCTTTCGAATTTGCCCTACTTGGCCCATGTAAGCTAATGGAAAAATATAATCAAGGTGAAGCTTATATGCCCACCTAACGTTGAAGTATAGTGGCCCTTCGCTGCAGTTAAACTTTTCTTAGGGGGCTACATACGACAAAATATGTCTATTAGTTCACTTCTAATGCTTTGAACATTTGGAAGCTCTTGACTCATGCAAAGTGAATTCAAATATTGTAATACACATCCGAGTATTTAAAGCACTAGATGTTTTACAAAAACCTAATATTTTTGTATTTTGGCACTTATGTTTGTTCCTAAACAAAACTATGTCATGTCCTCGTTACACTTTACCCCAATCTATCTTGTTTACATAAATATAAATATAGATGCTTGAAAAGATGCTATAAAAATCAATGACCTCATGAGTAGTTGTTGGAATTTCAAGGTAGTGTCACCGTTCACCTTCTTTTTTTGTGCACCTTTTTGTGCTTGCCAAGCATCTTCCTTGAGTATGAGAGGCATTTTTTTTTTTTTGTGCTCAAGAAAGGTAGACTCAAACTTTATTCTAACGAAGTTGCTTCTCACATGAAAATAAGTTTGTTATATCAAGAAACTTGTTATAAAAGTATATTCTTTGCCTTGTATCGATCGCAAAAGTATTCTTCATTTACTTCGTTATATCCGGGTTTGTTATACCATGGTTTCGAGTGTATTGAAAATGAATCGTTTCTCCCTCATGTCGTTTAAACTTCTGTTAAAGAGTAGTTTGTTGAGCCGGTTCTGCTACTCCTCTATATTAGTGCCATGCCGGGACAGTCTGGTGTCTCTGGTTCTTCGGTGGAAGCGAGGTTCAGGCAGCGAGTTGGCTTTTCTGGCCACACAAATCGGACCACTCTGCCATTTGCCAACAGGTGAGAAAACCTGTCGACGGTGTGAGCATGGACCCACGTCCCACAAACAAGGTAGGATGTCTCTAGTAGATGGAGATGGGAGAGCTTTTACAGAAAAAGTCAGTTTTGCCAAAAGAACCAGGCAATGAATGCGATAGCAAGATATTCGAATTTTTATGAAGCAATAAGGCTGGCATTTTTAGGAGCAATAATAATTGCAGTAAACATGCGCTTCCAGTAAACATACCAGCCAACTATCCTGATTTGCCTGAGAGACTCTTGAACTTTGACTAATTTCTCGAGAAACAGAATACACTCCTCCGAAATGAACATGTACATTAGAAAGACGCATCGGGAGTGGCGGTCATTCATTTTTGTTGTTGTTGTGGCCCCAAAGAACATGCCAAATTAATATGTGCACCAGATTTGTTCTGTCACATCGCCAACCTCTGCTTTACTGATTTGCTGTATTTCTAGGGGACCAGGTTGGTAGGTGTGCTAATCAATCTTTGGCAGTTGGTCGCTTTGGCCAAAATGAGACCAATTTGTCAGGGCCGCACACGCAAGCAATATTGCAGGAATTCTGGAGAAAAGCGGCTGGCTTGTAGAGCTGTACCAGGAGCTGTCGTCTGCTGGACTGAGCGCCTGCAACAAGAGCAGCCCGGACAAAGTGCCCACTATGCACGGCATTGGTGCCCGATGTCGCCGGATTTGTGCCCACTTTTTTCCTGTAAGGCTGATATCGAAATTGTGTTCCCCCTCTTTCTGTCGCATGCATAGAGTTACCAGAACTGCACTGATATGCAGACCAATATCTAAGCTTGGAAAAATATTCAAGCACTTGAAATATTCGAATGATTACAGTATTTTAATTTGTTTTGATGTAATTATAAGTTGTTTGAAACATTGAAGCACTCGGAATGAGTGAAAAGTAGTATATTTGACCTAATAGGAACTCCCCACTAACAAATAAAATTTTGCTGCAGCGTAGGATTGGCATACCGTGAAAGCACATATCCAGAAAAAACTCGTGCCGTTGCAAAGTTGCACATCAAGGGCAAATGTATGTATCACTTGCATGTTGCTTAAATTTAATAAATTTACATTCGTGTGATATGGACTGACACGCATTAGGTTTGCGAATTCGGCAGATGTTCTGGTGTCAATGTCGGCGTTGTCCTTAGTTCTGAGCGAAAGTTTTAAGATAGATTTGAGATAAAAATAGGAGCCAGAGGGCGTTTGCACTTTGGCTTTCCTTGTGGTGCAGTTTAGGCCTTCACCAAGAAGCGAAGTTAGGCCAGCGATTGGGAAGTGATAGTAAGAGGTGGTGGGAAGCGATAGTAGGTAGGAGGTGGTATGGACTAGAGCTGATTTCTTTGAGGAGGAACATAAACAAATTTGTAATGCAGGTTAATGGCTGTTCTATCTTTTTCAAGAATGAATGCTGGCGCATCGATGCTTGTTATGACAGAACTCTCTTAGCGACTGTTCATTGTGCAGCCTCCTGCTGTGTACTTTCAGGTGCCCTCCTTGTGAAGACAAGAGGCAAATCCTCTGGTTTTAATTTTGCTAATTCACTTTGTACATTTCCTGTCCTTCCTCTTCTCTTTTTACTTCCCGAATGCTCAGCTCCGCTGGTGGTACACGAGAAGGTAATCCAACATTCGAAAAATATTTTTGTTTTATTTTGGAAGTTTACGAAGAACTACCGACAGTGAACTACGGTTTCATGTTTATTTGCTTATAATACTCTCAAACTTCAATATAAAAAACATTGATATTGTTGCGGGTTATAAATTACAGGGGGTTTATTTAAAAACACAGACAGTGGGACTTGTAGAGACGCTCTCAGAGAAGGCCGCTGAGATTGTCGTCTTCTTCACTCTGCTGCGCTGCGCCTCTCGAGCAAATCCGCGTTCTTCGTTGTCGTCGCTATTTCGCCGCTAAATGCAGCTATGCACGCGGCATTACCCTTTCGCCAGAGTGAGCGTCGTCCCGACGCTCAACAGGTAGAGATGCGGCCATCGAGTGTTTACATCACTGAGAGTGGTAAAGTTTCATGCGGACCACGTGCACTGTCTCAGGCAGATGCTGCCGACGTTTGGAACAGGAGGAGGCGTCGGGCATGACTTCGTACGTCACGTCGCTAAGACGGCGCAGAACCTTGTAGGGTCCGAAGTATCGGCGTAGAAGTTTCTCTGAGAGGCCTCGTCGTGGTACAGGAAACCAAACCCAGACTCCTGGTTGATAAATGACGAATCGATGGTGAAGGTTGTACCGTTGGGCGTCAAGTTGCTGCTGGTTCATTATTCTGACGTGGGCAAGCTGCCTTGCTTCTTCGGCGCGCTCAGTGAAGTCTGCGGCGTCTGTCTCTGAGTCATTGCAATCGTAAGGCAGCATGGCGTCAAGCATTGTCGTAACTTCTCTGCCATGAATTAGTGCGAACGGCGTCATTTTTGTTGTTTCCTGGCACGCCGTATTATACGCGAATGTGATGTACAACAATATTTGGTCCCAATTTTTGTGTTCTACGTCGACGTACATGCAAAGCATGTCAGCGATTGTCTTGTTAAGTCTTTCTGTAAGCCCATTCGTTTGTGGGTGGTAAGCTGTCGTCATCCTATGCGCTGTGCCACTCAGCGTAAGCACAGTGCGCAAAAGCTCGGCTGTAAACGCGGTACCTTTGTCTGTTATGACGACAGCTGGAGCACCATGTCTCAGAACAATGTTCTCAATGAAAAACTGGGCCGCTTCAGCTGCAGTGCCACTCGCGATTGCCTTGGTCTCCACGTATCGGGTGAGGTAGTCCGTTGCCACTATAACCCATGTGTTGCCGCTGTCCGATGTTGTGAATGGGCCCAGCAGATTCATTCCGATTTGAGAAAACGGGGTTTCTGGCACGGGCACAGGATGTAATAGCCCAGCGGGTTTGACAGGTGGTACCTTGCGCCGCTGACAGTCAATGCATGTTCGGACATAATGTTTAACTTCTGCTACGATTCTTTGCCAGTAATATTTTTCTTTGATGCGTGTCAGTGTTCTTGTGAAACCAAGGTGGCCCGCAGTGGCTTCGTCATGGCAGGCTTGTAAAATTTCGCTGCGGAGAGCGCCAGGAACTACCAGCAGATAGCTTCTACCTGTTGATGAAAAGTTCTTTTTGTACAGAATTCCGTCCCGTAAACAGAATGAGGATAAGTTCTTCGAAAAAACTCTTGGTGCATTGGCGGCTCGTACGTTCAAGAATTCTATAAGCGAGTTGAGCTCCCGATCATCTTGTTGTTGCCGAGAAATGATAGCTGCATCAACAACTCCTAAAAAACCTGCGAAATCATCATCCTCTATAGCCGGTTATTCAATCGGTGACCTTGACAAACAGTCGGCGTCTAAGTGTTGCCTTCCGGACTTGTAAACTACGGCCATGTCGTACTCTTGGAGCCGTAAGCTCCATCGTGTTAAACGTCCAGATGGGTCTTTCATGTTGGTCAACCAACAAAGAGAGTGATGGTCGCTTACGACTTGGAAAGCGTGGCCATATAAGTACGGGCGGAACTTCGCAACTGCCCAAACGATGGCCAGACACTCCTTCTCCGTTGTTGAGTAGTTGGACTCGGCGCGTGTCAACGTTCTGCTAGCGTAGGCAACCACTCTCTCCCCACCATCTTGGGATTGGACAAGAACAGCACCTAGGCCCACATTGCTGGTGTCTGTATGGATGGCTGTTGGTGCATTCTCGTCCAAGTGAGCGAGGACAGGTGGAGTTTGTAGACGCTGTCGCAGCTCGTTGAATGAAGCTTCTTGCTCTTCACCCCATATAATTTCGATGTCTTCCCTTGTAAGGCGGGTGAGTGGAGAGGCGATGTGTGCGAAGCCTGCTATAAATCGCCGTTAGTAGGCGCAGAGACCCAGAAAACGCCTGACCGCTTTCTTATCAACAGGCCTTGCAAACTTTGGGACGGCTGCTGTTTTATCTGGGTCAGGCTTCACACCTTCGCGACTGATCATGTGTCCCAGGAACTGGAGTTCTTCGAAGCCGAAGTGGCATTTTTCCGGTTTGAGTGTGAGTCCAGCGGACTGCATGGCTTGAAGGACTGACAGTAGCCGCTTTAGATGCTCTTCAAACGTGGCCGAAAAAACGATCACGTCGTCGAGGTACACAAGGCATGTTTTCCATTTCAGGCTGGACAGAATAGTATCCATTAGTCTCTGAAACGTGGCTGGGGCTGAGCATAGACCGAAAGGGAGGACTTTTAAAGCCCGTCTGGTGTCACGAAGGCGGTCTTTTCTCGGTCACGCTCATCTACTTCTATTTGCCAGTATCCACTTTTAAGGTCCATTGACGAGAAGTAGCGCGCATGCCGTAGCCTGTGCAAAAAGTCATCGATCCGTGGTAATGGATAAACACCTTTTTTTGTAACATGGTTCAGCTTACGATAATCGATGCAGAAACGCAAACTGCCGTCTTTCTTTTTCACGAGTACCACTGGCGATGCCCAAGGACTCTTTGATGGTTGGATAACGCCATCCTCTAGCATCTTCTTGACTTGCTGCTGGATTACCTCACGTTCTTTCTGAGCGACGCGGTATGGGTTCTGTCGGATCGGTCTTGCTGTGTCTTCCGTAATTATGTGATGCTTAGTCAGAGGCGTTCGACCTACTCGTGATGTCGATGAGAAGCAGTCCTTGAACTGGTCGAGCAGCTCCATAAGACGGCATCTTTCAGTCGGTGTTAGACTCGACCGATATCAGCTGGTGGTGTATGTGGAGGTGATTGAGCTGTGGCTTCTCCTTGCATTAGAAGACAGTCGTGAGAGTAGTCGAGCTCTTCGAGGTACGTCACAGCTGTGCCTTTACCGATGTGCCAGCGCTCATTCGTGAAGTTGGTCAGAAGCACGTCTGCGCGCCCATCCACTAAGCTGACGATACCGCGAGCGATGGCGATGCCTTGGTGAAAAAGAAGGTCAGTGATGCGTTCGGCTATGGCGTCTTCATTACAGTGTACGGTGCAACACACGGAAACAAGACTACATGACAGTGGTGGCACGCAGACGTCGTCGTCGACCACACGTAACACCCTGGGTTCTTGGTCTGGATCAGTGGTCACAGACTTGTCAGCGGCGAATGTGATCACACCGTCGCGTATGTTGACCACAGCACCGTACTCTCTTAAGAAGTCCATTCCCAGTATCATAGGTTTGCAGCACTCCGGTAGGATCAGAAATGTGGCTACAAAAGCCACATTCTCAATAGTGAGTCTTGCTGTACATTTTCCCGTGGGAGTCATTATCTGGCCTCCAGCACTTCGGATATAAGGGCCCGTCCATTCCATCCTGACTTTCTTGAGTTCGTCTGCCAATCGTTCACTCATTATGGAGAAGTCTGCACCCGTATCGACTAAGGCCGTCACTTCAACGCCGTCAATCGTCACAGCGAGGTCGGCAGTCACAGTTTTCTCGGCGAAGTCTTCATCGTCGTCTCTCACGTGTTTCGGCAGCAGTGTGGGATTTTCGGCAATTCAACGGCTTGCAACCTTCCCCCCAGAGGTCCCTGCTTTCAGTTTCCCCGCCGTGGGCTGGGAGACCGACCTCTGACGGCGTCAGCAAAACTACGGCGGCTTGGTGAACCAAAGCGAGCCGGTGATGGTGACCGCGTCCGGAAGGTAGAAGAGCCTTCCCGCCTGCCAGCCTGGTCGTCGTCAATGGGGGCACGGCTTTCGTCGAACTGTCGGCGCGTAGCTGTAGGTGCACTACCGCGGTATTCAGCTCGGCGATGTGGGCAAAAACGGTACATGTGCCCTAGCTCTCCACAGTTGTAGCAGAGTGGTCGACCATCCGCAGTGCGCCATATGTCGGTCTTCCGCATATAGGGTCACCTGACAGAATCCTGCTGAGCCCAGGCTGCCACAGGATGCGGTTCGAGGTACTGCGGCGCTGGCATGGGCATGGGCCGACGAACAGCGTCTGCATAGTTGTATTCGTTCGGCTGGTATGATACTTCTGGAGCCAATGGACGACGCACAGCGTCTGCATAGGTACACGAGTTTGGACGGTGCGGTGGAGGGGAATATTGCTGAGGAGAGGCAAACGCTTGTCGAAGTTCATGGCGAACGACTTCAGCGACGGAGGCTACCGTGGACTCCTGCTGCGGGGGCGCCTGTGACTGCAATGTGTATTTTGCGTTCTCCTTCGCGATCTCCTCATGCACGATCTGTCTAATCAGGTGGCGTAGAGAAAACTCGTCGTTTTCGGTAAGTGCGGTGGCGCCTGCAGCTGCGCCGGTGGCCGGGTGATCAGACTGTCGGTACCGTTGCTGTAGCGCACGCTCTATTGCGGTGGCCTCCCTGGTGAACTCGTCCACTGTTGTCGGCGGATTGCGCATAAGACCAACAAATAGCTGCTCTTTGACGCCCCTCATGAAATGGCTTAGCTTTCGAGCCTCGGGCATGTTGGGGTCGGTGCGGTGGCACAAGCGCACCACATCCTCAGCAAACATGGCGACGCTTTCATGCAGCTGTTGGGTGCGTCCTTCAAGAAGACGTTGTGCGTTTTCGCGTCGGTCCGCGTTACCGAAGGTGTCAAGAAGCCGACGACAAAACTCCTCCCATGTCGTCAATGTTGCCTCCCGGTTTATAAACCACGTCTTCGCGCCGTCTTCTAGGGCGAAGTATACGTGGAAGAGCTTTCCATCGAGACTCCAGTAGTTCGATTTAGCTACCTGTTCGAACTGCTCAAGCCAGTCTTGCGCATCTTCGTTCGGCCGGCCATGAAATGGTTCAGGAATGCGCATATTCTGGACCGTCACCTGTGCAGGACTCCTTGCCATTTCTCGAGTAGGGGTGGTTGTCGGAAGTGTTGCTCCCTTTAAAAGGCCAAATTCTGGTTCAAGACCTTGAAGGCGACGGCTTGAGCGGTGCACAGGCGTCTCCACGCGTGGCTGTCTCGTAGGGCTGGACTCGGGGCTTCTCACAGGGGTGCTGATCATGAGGTGGTAGTACCCAGCTCCTCCACCAGTGTCGCGGGTTATAAATTACAGGGGGTTTATTTAAAAACATGGACAGTGGGACTTGTAGAGACGCTCTCAGAGAAGGCCGCTAAGATTGTCGTCTCCTTCACTCTGCTGCGCTGCGCCTCTCGAGCAAATCCGCGTTCTTCGTTGTCGTCGCTATTTCGCTGCTAAATGCAGCTATGCACGCGGCAATATAATGAACTATCAGTTATAATGAAGTAAATGAGGAAAAGTCTTGCAATACAGTGTCAGGAATGACCTATGTAATTCATTTTCGGATATAAAGAACTGATTTTGTTGAAAAATGAGACATTGTTATAGTGAGGTGTGAGTGTACTTTTTTTTTAGACACGTACATTCTGAAGTTAATCAAGCACCTCTAATGTTCATTAGTGCTAGCGATAATTACATTACTTTTCGGTGCAGTGCTTCTAGCAGCTTTGGTAATCACCATTTTCGGTAGTGCGGTAGTCACGGTGCTCGGCTGCTGACACGAAAGTCGTGGGTGTGATCCTGCGTCACGTTTCTAAGGAGGAAAAATCCTAAAGGATCGTGTACATTGTGATTTCAGTATTGAGAAGCACCAGATGGTTGAAATTTTTTGTGCCCTCCACTACTGCATGCGTCATCAGTTTATCTCGATTTTGGCACGTACAACCTCAGCCGTCATGCTTATTATCTTCGAGAAGTGATAGAAATACATAGTGATACAAGTACGGCTGCATACTTGTTGGCATGAACTTAGAGCTTCATTAGCGATTCCATGCCGTGAAATTGATATGCTAAACTTTTCAATATACATTTGGGTATTTGAAGTAAGTACTTAATCAGGAAATTCAGCACATGATAGATCTTGACTCGGAAACTCCGCCTTTTTTTGTCTATGTTTCAGGACATGATACAGTTTGTTACGGCGGAATCGTTCGAGCCCATGCTGCTGCACATGTGGCGAGGGATTGTGCACAGACCCAGACGCCTCTGTACGCTCTGCGATGGCCGGTGGGGTCAGTCAGGTATGCTCTGTGCTAGTGCCATTTACTTTTGCCATTTGAACTAACAATCAATCAGTAAGTCAAAGTCTATTTTACCACAAAAAAATCTGAAGTGCTGAAAGGGGCTCAGGTAGGTAGATGCACTCTCTTTTTATTAGGGTTCACTGAATGGAAACATGTTAACATTATAGTGATAGACTAGTGTGATCAATTATTCAGTCAATCAACCAGAGTTAATTTCACCCGAAAAATCCCGGTGGTTTTCAAGGCTCTAAGTGACTCAAGGTGGTTTGACTGGGTTTCTGAAGAACCAGTCAAGTTCTGACCTATGAGTTTTCCCGATGCTGAGTGAAATACATCAGGAGTGAAGAGCTACATGTGATTGGTTGGGTCCGTTTTAGTGGCCGCATGGCTCGTATGAACAAGATGGCCTGCTTGTGAACCAAACTCGTGAGCTAACTTGAAATTCATGACCTTAAAAAGGTTGAGTTGGTGAAGTGAAACTACTGGACATTTTTTTTTTTCTTAAGATAGCAATTATATGGACAGTCTCGGCTGGTTTTGTTATCGTCGCCGCTGCTGCTGTCATTCACGTATATACATATATACATATATATATATATATATATATATATATATATATATATATATATATATATATATATATATATATATATATATATATATATATATATATTATATATATATGGGGAAGGCTGTGCTTAGCTCCTGTTTCTGTGGAGCGAAAATCGCCTTTCTGGCCGGGCTCGTCTACGTTCACGCTCATCTCACCAGCGAACAAGGGGAAGGAAGTGCTTATGGTTGCCGCACTATCGCGGCAACAATCAGCCCACTCTTTGTTCCCCCACAGCAGATGGGAGCTTCTACGGGCTGTGCTCTTAACAAGAAAAAACGGTGTCAAAAATCAACCTGGAGCGGCTATGTTCTGTTACACCAGCCTTTTGTAGAGTTGCGTGAGATTGGATCTGAATCAGTTGACTGCCAGCCTCACTTCGTATATCAACGCCGTCACTACGCACGAGTCTTGTTGTGCTAGTCTATAGCGGCCGCGCCTGCAGGAAACTTGGTTACTTAGCAAGTGCATGTTTACTGAAATTATTATTGCTCCTCAAAATGCCAGCTTTGCTTCGTAAAACGTTCGAATATGTTACTATCGCATTCATTGCATTCGTCCTTTTGGCGGAACTGTGACTTTTTTATAATTATTTTTTGAAAAAGTTACACCATCACACTGAGCCGGGAAAACAAACCTTCGGCAAATCTATGTACTAGCCATCATTCCTATGCCAACCGAAATGCATGTATTGCCATGCACCCAAGTGCCAGATTTTGCTTTAGATTATTAAAACCAGTAGATAATGAAGCCAAGTGAAGTTAACAGGATTCTGATTGTTCTATTCTTAATGTATCACGGCATGCATGATATAGATGTGTTGTAAGGACAACTTGTTGCCAGCAGGGACTGCAATCGGTAGATCCGGAGGTTCGATACCTGCCAGTGGCAAGTTCCGCTCTACTTTCTTCACATCTGTATAATAATTATTCCGATACACTTGAAACAGCACAATTAACTCTCTTTATACTTTTTTATCTTCATTATCTTCTGGTCCTAATTATTGCTGTGTGAAAGAAAAAACGAGCCCTCCAAATTTTCTTCGTCCAATTTCCTCTTGTGTAACGTTATGAGATTCTTGCATGCAGGTGGTGAACACATTGCGAGTCCATGGCATCGTGTGTTGGCCACGGCTCTTGCTGTGCGAGATTTGCGGCCTGCTGACTGAGGGTCTCCTGGCAGAAAGTCTGTTGGACCTGGTGCAGGCCCTGTCAGCATGCCGGGACCTCTGTCAGCCTTCCTGCCGTGGCTGTGAGGGGTGCTGCACTGTGAGTGTACGAGTGCTGTTGTGCTGGCTGTGACTTCACAAGTGATTTCAGTGATAGCCGACTGCTGTCCCATTGATGGCACAGGAAAAACAACTTGTGGAGCTGGTCTCTGCCGTGGAGGCTTGCGTTGCACGAGCGGGCCTCAAGTGGCGTCGTGAAGCGGCCGTGTGGAGTGCCATAGGCTGCCTGGCCGGCCCGCTGCTTCCGACTTTCCTAGAGAGACGAATCACAGAGTGCCTGCTGCGGCGGACTCAGGCGTCTGTAAGTGTCTTTTCTATTTTTTCATCATTTTTCATTTCATGCAGTAGATGTACACTCAAACCTCATTAATAATAAAGTTTCACAAATTTGCATGCACATTAAATAACTTTAGGTGGTCAAAATTTTCAGAGCACTCCACTATGGCGTCTTATAATCATATGGTGGTTTTGGGACATTAAACCCCACATATCAGTCATCAGTTAATCAACCAAGTTGCACCCAACATAAAAACAAGTTCGTTATATCCACGAATTCGTTATAAATATATATTCCTAACACTCTATATGTTGCAAAATGTATTCATATACTTTGTTATAACCAATGTTTTGTTATATCTGGGTTTAATTTGTTGAGGTTTAAGTGTATGTAAGCGTACTGGCTGTGGTGGACAGACTACTGCTGCCAGCTCAGTGTTGGTGCAGTTGTGCATTGTTTGGCGCTAGAGCGAGCCACATCAAAACATTTGCTTATTCAGAACCTCTACCACCATGCAGTCAAGAGTAGGACAAAAGCCTGTCTAACCGAGATGAAACATATTAAAAAAAGGGATATCGACCCTGACCAAAATGATCTAAAAAAAAAATGTATTATTGTTTCAATTGTGAACAAGGCTCCCATTGGCGAGCAGAAACGTAAATAAATACAGTTATTTTCTAAATCATTTTGGTCGGAGTCCATTTCTCTTCTTTTAGTAACTTTGTAACTATCGAACCTTAGCAAATTTAGCTGAGGTTTAGCAAATTTAGCCGCCAGGCAAGTAAGAGAACATGAAAAGATTTCAGCAAGAACAAAAAATCAGGGGTTCTCTCATTTGTTTTTTTTTTCTTATTTGCTCTCTCATTTGTTTTTTTTTTTTTCTTATTTGTTCCGTGTGATCAAATTGCTCTGTTCTGTTATATTGCAACATTCACTGCAAAGGAAAGAATTCGAAATTCAAGGGCTTGCTAAATATGTTACACGCAATATTCTCCTCACAAATGTCTCGTTAACATTGAGTTTGAGGTATACGGAGTGGAGTGTAGTGGGTGCGACCTGGTGTGGACATCGCAGGGGCCGCTACCATGTCGACTAGCGGCCGTCCAGAGTTTGGTGGCTTTCCTGCGGTCTAGCGACAACGGTCGAGAGCGGCTGCTGACAGACGTCACTCGAGGTGTGTCAGTCGCTCCTTTGAAAGGCCTGTTAAAGGCACAGAGGTCTTCTCACATAAATTTCATTTTGATATTGCCATACTATTTCTTTGGTATTTTTTCATAATTAATATGTATATGTATCTACATACACTTTGTATATTGCCCCCTCACCTGTAAGGTACCTTAAATAAAAATAGAATGAAAAATATTACAACTCGTTATATAACCTCCCTTTTCTTTTTTTATTATATGCAAAAAGTGCTCTTACAGTTATGTGAAATTTCTTTACAAGTTTATATTTAATCAGGCTCGTTAGTCTGTGCTTGCCTTCCACTTGCAGTGTTTACAATAATCTGTTTTGTTAAATTTTATTCACGCTGTTTTTTTACTTGACCCCTCCTAATTGGTCATCAGTCTGCGGTTTATACTAAATAAATAAATCTTGGGTCGGGTGAAATGCCCACTTGCAGATAGAATAGACCTGGAACACCAGCATGCAAAACAGGAAGTTTGGAATACAAGTTTGTGTCATCATGAGGAGCTAACCAAAAAAAAAAAAACTAAACTTTGAAGTGGTACATAAATTTAGAAACGCAAAGAAATGTGAGCATATTTTGCTGTTGTGAACTTTGGCCAGGATATTGGCTTCTTCTATCATTTCACCCAGCCAGAGGTCTTTGTGTTGTTTGTGTTGGCTGCCACGTTTCTTGCAAGTGCTCTCTCTTAGCATATCTGTTTCACAGAAAGAGAGGCCAGACCTGCACAGGATATACAAAGGCTGATGTCTTTGCCTCGGCAGCTCATTTTTGGGGGGTCGCGCATATCTACGTCTGGGAAGCCTTCATTGAAAGGAGTTGTCAACGCTGGTGCTGTTGTGCATGCGGTTTTGCAGTCTCATGTAGCCAGCTATGTTTACATGAAAACCACTCTGTGTGACCTCACTTGGCGCTTTCAGATATCGAAACTGTGACTGAGCGCTATAAATCTGTCTGCAAATAATTAACTGTCATGCACTTGAGCAAACGAGCTTTCAAGACATGATAATTGGGTTTCAGCTATGTATAACAACAAAAAAGCCGTATATGAAACTTTTGCATCAGTGCTTTTTTAAATAATCCCGCTGGTCACTTTTTTGCGCAGATTTGGCGGAGGCAAGAAGCAGTCGCAGTCGACTCATGTTTGTGCAGCTCTGCGCACACGTCCAGGATAGCGAACTGCTGGAAAAGTGGCAGCTGGCGCAACGTCTGAGTCGTCTGGCTGGTAAGAAGTAGAATGCCTGTCGCTTGGGACGTCGTATCAGATAGGGAGAAATCGGTGACACTGTGAGAGAGTGTCACCGATTGCACCAACTTGCTGGGAAAGTTGCTGCGTAGCCTAATGAAAGGACTCATGCCACAAACAGAACAAAGAAGAAACAAAGAAGACAAGACGGGACACCAGACTCCGAACTATAGTTTATTTTCACCGCATCATCTAAATATATGCACTCAAACCTCATTATAACAAAGCTGTATTTTGTCTGAAAGTAAGTTCGTTTTATCCAAAAGTTTGTTATAAAGGTTTATTCCTTGCCCCGCCACGATGTTCTAGTGGCTAAGGTACTCGGCTGCTGACCCGCAGGTTGCAGGATCAAATCCCGGCTGTGGCGGCTGCATTTCTGATGGAGGCGGAAGTGTTGTAGGCCCGTGTACTCAGATTTGGGTGCACGTTGAAGAACCCCAGGTGGTCAAAATTTCCGGAGCCCTCCACTACGGCGTCTCTCATAATCAAATAGTGGTTTTGGGATGTTAAACCCCACAAATCAATCAATCAGGTTTATTCCTTACACTATATCTATTGCAAGATAGCTTTTGATCAGTATAGCGAGGTTTGAGTCAATATTCAAACCTCGATAACTAGCATGGATAAAACGAAATATCTTTTTTTTTTTTTCATGAAGTAAATTCTTGTGATAGATACAGTGTTAGGAATAACCTTTATAATGAATTTTCGGATTTAACAATCTTATTTTGTTGTAAGATTCAACTTTGTTATAATGAGGTTTGAGGTGTATACATCTTCAGAAATGTGCATGAGAGTGTGCAACACATGCAAATTATCACACACCACCATCACATTAAGCTGCTGTGCAGAGATAACTAAAAATAAGCATTCAGTGCCGCTCAGGGTTAGAATATTGAATGCTTGTTCTTGGATATTTCTGTGCGACAGCTTATTCTTGTGGTTTTTTGTGATCATTTAGATCGGTTGTAAACTCTGTCCGTGCACATTACTGAAAATTTGTGTTCGGCACGAATGTGTATGCTATGGACTGAGGACATTGTTATGAGAAATTTACACCTGTATGACGACTTGTTTATTTATTTATTTATTTATACTACCTAACCTTTAGACGTAATTTTACGACTTCTTTTTTGTTCTTCAAGTTCTTATGTCACCTGTGAAGCATGCTTATACGAGGCAAGAAAACTCGTGACACTCATGGCTAGATACAAAGCAACTCTCTTTAGGTCCTTGTACTTTTGCACTGTTTCGCCTCTGCTAGCCATGAACCGTTACCAACCTGCCCAGTTTTCAATCCTTTCAATCCCAGTACCAATCGTTAAAATCCTACACCTTGTCTTCTTGGTTTGCCGTTCCCATGTTGGATGAGCAGTGACCATTGGCCTTGTGTGACATAGCAACCACCACTTGATCCATTTACAACCCTCCATTGCAATTTCTGTTTTTAACTGCAGCTGATGATCCGGTGGAAAATGTACGGCGTCAAGCTAGTCGCTGCATGGAGCAACTGGAACCCGGGTTGAAAGCAGTGCCACAGTCGGCCACCTCGAAGGCACGCTCGGTTGGCACTAGCAGACTAAAGGTGCGAGAAGCTTTGCTGTGCATGAAAATGAGCCTCGTAAAACATCAGTATGCTGTAGTGCCACGATACGAAAGCATTGGTACGTTTCAGTGAGGTAGCATTTAGGCTGCATGGAGGAAAATTTTCGAACGTCAGTTTACTCTGCGATACAAATCTTCTCTATTCAGGCACAGCTCTCAGATAGTGAGAAGCTCAGTAAGTGCTGATAAGATACATATTTTGCTTTAATAATGAAGTCGATTTTGGCATCGCACGGCTACTGACATTAGCAATATCGGGATGGCAGGCTGCTGTGTCAATTCTGATGGCTTAGTGTATTTTTTTGTGGCTAGCTGTGATGATGTTAGGCACCAAAACATCAAAACATTGAAAAATTTCTGCTTGTACGTCATTAAAACACTCAAAATATATGCTTTTGCGTTACCAACGGAGCAGTAGAGCAGACTGGTCAGGGAAATGTTGCGATTTTTGCTTGAGCACATGATTAGAAGCTCGTACCGTGTTCATCAGGGTCCATTGGGGATTAAAACTAGCTCTTAAAAGTGCACGGTAATTACATCTTCAGGTTGCACTTACACTTTCCAGTACATTTTCTGAGCTGTTGAGGGCTTGGCCTTTAATTTGACGCACAAAATCGACATCTGAAAACTTTTTTGTGTCTGTAGACCTTTAAAATAATAATACGTCTTGATGCCATAGCATTAAATACCAACAGCAACGAAACTTCAGGCTCCATAAAGGGTCCTGACAGTAGCGATTTATTAAAAAAGTGTTTGCAAAATTTTTCACTTTAAATACAAGCCAATTCATCTCGAAAGATTCACAAAATTGAGCACTTTCGCTGCTGAAAGTGTCAAAAAGGTAAGGCAGCTTCGTCTGAGGAATCGCAAATAAGTTGTGGGTCCTGCAGTGGTGCACTGAAAGACTGCAGAAAGTTTTGTTCGCCAGAAAAAGAATATATGGTTGCAATAACACTAATGGTTGACATGCAGAATTTTTTCGTCATGCACATTTATCTTCATAAGCGTGAATCTTGGCAATGCAATAATTTCATGCCTGTGAACGAAGCGTATCGCATTCACCCTCCCAAGGTTCCGCCAAATGCAATTCACAGAACTGTGATGTATTTTTTTTCTGCATTGTTACTACATATCATTTTTCTCATAGTGGTATTCAGCAACCTAACCTAATACAACTTGGCAAGCACCTAAGTGAAAAGCCTACATCCTGCAGTAGTTTGCAGTCCATCCCTCTTTTCATTTCAACAGTAATGCTTCTTAACGTAGCACACTTCATCAATTGTTGGCATAAATTTTTGGATACTATGAAAATATTTGCACACTGTTTTGTGATTGGTTTCAGGCCACTGTTACAGTTATATTTCGTCTACCATGAATGTTTCAATGCCCCATTGAAAGCAAGCAGACTCCTTGGTGCTCGTTGGCCAGTCTTGGCTCTTTTATCATTAAAATTTATATATACTCAAACCTCATTATAAAGAACCCAGATATAACGAAATATTGGTTATAACAAAGTAAGTGAAAACTAGTCTCACAGTAGATATAGGGTTAGGAATAAACCTTTATAGTGAACTTGAGGATATAACAAACTTATTCTCGTGTAAGATGCAGCTGTTATAATAAGGTTTGAGTGTATCATCATTACATTGTGCATTCGGTAAAATAATCCATCCATTGTCTTTTGAGTATGGTTAATAGTTCCATGCATTCCTGCACTTCGTGTGAAATCAAATAGTAATGTGTGCTTGGTGGTCCGTGGTTACGAAATGAAGTTTTGAGAAGGGACTACTGTTGTTGTTCCATACTGTTCATTTGACACTTTGCGACTGCAGACCATGGCCCTCAGTGTACTCAAGGGTACTTCAATGGAGCACCTACCTTCTTCAAAAGTGCCCATTAGTGCACGGCGTTGGCCACCCGGTAAGTTTGCCTGCGGTCCCGTCAAGTTCATAGACCGGCAAACTCGCTTGTCAATTGACCTACTCAGACTCGAATGACCGGCCTGTACGTCCGGCTCTATAAAGCATGGCCTGAGCTGTATCCTAGTGAGTTTTAGTACGAGTGGGTCCAGCTGTAGGGAAGTTTGGGGAAGCTTGAACTTTTGTGGGCACGGCTGAATGCCGGTGGTCATGAGTCCCATGCCAGTTCAGAAGAGTGGAATTCTGGTGAAGTCGAGTCCTGGTGAGTCCAGCTTGCCTGTGTTTTTTTCAGTGCGTTCATACCTTGATATAACGAGTGTGCATATAATAAATTGACAAAGTAAATCAAGAATAGGCCTGAAACAGATGTAGCTTTAATAATGTTTGTTAACAATTAACTGTCATATCTACTGAAGTGCATTTTTGTGTAAGGCGCCACGTTGTTGTGTAAGGTGCGACTCTAATGACAGTAGCATAATGTTAGATCTTTTAAAAGGGCCATCACACCCAATTTTTTCATCGTAACGTGTGCTATGTGGGTTAATCCATGTGTGTTCACAAACAAGCTGGCAAAATTTCATTGCATTTGAGCTGGCATTTAACTCACTGACTGAACATATTTATAAACATCGATCGCCTGATAGTCTGGCAACGCTGGCACACCCATCAGCCATGATGTAACAAGTTGCTTGCTGTGCAAGCGTCTGCATCCTAGTTAATGATTACATTCTGTGCTCAGGTGCGCGTGCAATGGAACTGTTTGGGCTATCTTGAGCTTTGCCGTGAAAGTGAATCACAGGTAGTAGACTACAGCTTCATTCCACACAGCACATTGAAATCACGCATGCCTGCCTTGGCAAAGTGGTGGTCACTGGAGGCAGCCGAGTTTAATTTGCCCTCGAATATTTACTTACAGTCCTTTTTTTTTTCATATATGTTGAGGCACTATAGAACCTCTACATCTATTCCTCACTGAGAACCATAAATGTTTGAGTTACCGTGTCGCGGCCTCTTTAAACGAGCTACATTTCTTTCGCCTTCGTCTTTCCCTACTGTGACCATGACCATATCGTTCGTAATGAATAAGTAATGCTCATGTTTTTTTTAGTATTGTCAGTCCTTCCTGACATCATTCTTAGACTGTTAGCACCTTTGCAAAGGCATTGTACATAATGTATTATAGTAGCTGTTGTGTCAGGCATTTGCTAGCACCGGACAATTAAGGTGAACTTTGTGTAGCAAGCATTTACAAAACATTACAAATGACTTCTTTTCACTCGCAGCTAATGTTTTTTTTTTTGGAAACTTTCTATCACACGTCAGTTTCTCGGTGTAATTATGTCCTACTTTTTTTTTGTACCTGTGTTCAGTCATTCATATCTTAAATATGTGGTGCAGCCTAAAGATACTTTAATTAGCTCTATATAATTAGCATTACAGTAATATTGCTGTCAACGTTTAGAGCCTCATTTACTCAGAAACACCTTCCGTGCTATCTTCTCGACACAGGTCCAACAGAGAAACAAGAAAGCCGCACTTGGCCGCGCCTAAGCAAAGCTAGGTAAGCTTGATGCGTATATGAATTTTTCGTCGATACTGAAACAAGACTTAATAGTAATGTCGAGTGATAAGTAATTTGTGAATGCTAAATTCGGTGTCTTATCAACGTTCAAATTGAACACAACGGTGAGCGCAAGTGTGTTTGCTGGTGCTTGTGGGCCAGCTTCCAAGCTCCGTTACAGTTTAAATTGAACATGTTGACTCCAAGATACATCATAAATAAAGAAATTTTATGTCCAATAGACATTTGGTCATTCAAAATCATTGTGCTCTACTTCTCACCAACTGAATATGTAGGCATGGTGTGCAGTGGTCACAATAATTAGGCAGTCATTCACTAAATCAATGATAAGTCATTGAATTAATAAACCTTGACGCTAAAGTTATAAACCATGCAGAGAAAGATTCCTGTCACTGATGACCATAAGGTTTAGAATACAGTGAAGTCCACTCATAAATATTGTGGGCATTCGTTATACACTTCTTCTCATATCTGCATTTTATAATCATCATCTTCTGTCTGGGTCCCTGTCCTCATCTTCATTGGGTGTCACCACTATCATCATCGTGTGTGTGCGCGCTCTGTCTCAAACTGCCCGTTCGCTGCTAAGCCCTTGGGCTGAATAAACGCTGTCTCAACCCAGACGTCATACGTGGTGGAGGTGGATTTTCGGTCCTGGGTCCTTTCCCACCTCGCTCGACTCCCTAGAGTTCAGGCCGCCGCTCAGGCCGCCGTTTGCCCCCACTGTCCGGCAGCATGTCACAGAACGAGCCTGCCGGCGTTGTTGCCATCTCTCCCCCGCCCTCTTCAGCCGCACCTCCTGTTTACATACACAGCCACCAGCGGGATTCCCCTCTCTTCGCTGGTATTCGCGGGGAAGACGTGGAGGACTGGCTCAATAAGTTCAGTCTGCGTGAGTGTTGTTAATCGCTGGGACGATAGTGCCAAGCTCGGTTACATCTCTTTCTATTTGGCCGGTGTGGCGATGACATGGTACTTTAACCACATCATTGATATACCTGACTGGGCGACCTTCGTGCAGCAGCTCCGTCATGTTTTCGGCACACCGGACATTTGGTCCGCATTGGCGAAGAGAACCCTCGACACTCGCCAGCAACAATCCGGTGAGTGGTACACCTCATACATCGGGGGCTTTCTTGCGCTCTGTCGGCACGCCAATTCATCTATGCCGGAGTCCGACAAAGTACGCCCCATTTCAAAGCGTATAGGACCTGTTATCTTCAATGCCCTGGTTGCTCAGAACCCAGCTACCATCGCAGACGTCGTCATGACATGTTAAGGCCTCGATACGCTGGACTCGGTTCGTCTACAACCAGACGTTGGCGAACATTCTAAGAGACCGCTCCGTGACCTTATTAGAGACATAATATGTGAAGAGTTACAGAACACGGTTTCTCACCTCCTTCACCGTGTTCTCCACCGTCTACTGGAGCGGCATTACGCGACATTATTACGGAGGAACTGACATGTCTGAACGTTCCTGCTCACGTCCAGTCACCCCCGTCTCGGCCTATACGAACCTACGCGCAAGTCGCTGCCACGCCTCCCAGCGAAGTAAACATCACGTTGCCGGTACCATCGTACGCGTCAGTCGCTGCTGCTTCTCCCCTCAACTTCCTTTCGGTCCCGCCTGACCCTTCCTCTGCACACTTGACCGCAGTCTCTTCAGGTAGTCCGAATGCTTTCTACCCTCCCCCCTGGCACTCATCTCCCCGAGTTTGGTATTACTGCGGGTATCGCCGCCACGTTTCTCGTATCTGCCGCAAGCGCCGGCAAGACGAGCGTCGTGGTTGCTACATGCGTGAAAGAGATACTTCGTCCTATCAAGGTCAACGCCGTTCATCGCCCCCTTTCCAGTATCCATCTCCACCCACATCAAGTGCACCACGGAACAGCCGGAAGTCCAGACACCGTTCACCTTCACCCTTTCGCCACTCCTCCTTCCCACTTTGGCTTGCCTCATTCGCCACTGCCAGTCATTCGGAAAACTAAGTGATGCAGTTTCTGGGGAAAAAAACTGCATTCCAAATTAGGACTGATTTTCCTCCATCAGGCCCGTGCAACTTAATTTTTGTGGTAGTGGGAAGAGTGTACATGGATGCTCTGGTGGACGCAGGTGCGGCATTTTCTGTTATGCGTGTTGATTTAGGCCAACGTCTGTAGAAAGTGATGACCCCTTACGATGTAGCCACGTTGGTTGCTGCCCAGGGGTATGTCATTCGCCCTTCCGCTTTCTGTACAGCCCGTGTATTTATTGATGGTACCTGCCATCACAAACAGTTCGCCGTCCTGACTGATTGCTCTCACCAATTAATTTTAGGAGGGGATTTTCTTTCATCTGCCTCCGCGCCTATTTGCTGTGGCCAACGCGTCATCCACCTCACCGACTTGGACTGCACGTTCAACGATGACACCCAGAGGCCACTTCGTTTGACAGCTGCGGAGGATACCGAATTACCACCAGGTCAAGAGCGAATTGTAACCATTACCTCCTAAGACATCGACCATGGCGACGTCTTAATCTCACCATGCGTCGGTAAAGGCATCGTTCTCGCTTCTGGTGTGGTTCGTTTTCTTAATGGTTTCGCACCCATCACCGCCGTGAATACAACATCTGAAAAAAATTCTACTTCCTCAGAACACCATGGTGGCCTGCATGACCGATCCCGAGCCTGCATGCGTCGTTCCACTTCGTGCCGTCTCCTCCAAGGACCACCCTAGTGGGGAGCTTGCTTCTTTTTCCCCATTTGCTGCAGCCATTAGCGATGACTTGAAACCTTCACAGACGCAACAGCTGCTTGCTTTGTTAAAGAAACATGCAAGTTCTTTCGATGTTTACTCCTCGACGTTGGGCCGCACTACCACTACAACGCATCGAATCCACACTGTCAGAACAACTGTTGTACGCTGCCAATCCTACCCCGTGTCTCCTGCTGAGAGAAAAATTATCACAGAAAATGTAGCTGACAAGCTCAAACGAGTGGCAATTCGCCCCTCATCTAGCCCTTGGTCGTCGCCTGTGGTTCTGGTTCGTAAGAAAGATGGCTCCATGCGCTTTTGCGTCGATTACAAGGCCCTCAACAAGATTACTCGCAAGGATCTGTACCCAATGCCATGCATTTACGACGCCCTTAATTCTCTACAAGGCCGGAAATACTTTTCTAGCCTTGACGTGCGTTCCTGATACTGGCAAATCTCTATGCACGAAAAGGATAAAGAGAAAACGGCATTCGCACAACCCCTTCGGGCTATATGAACTCAACGTTATGCTTTTCGGGCTGTGCAATGCGCCCGCTACTTTTGAGCGCATGGTTGATACCGTGCTGCGATGCCTCAAATGGAAGACCTGCCTCTGCTACTTGGACGACATCGTTATTTTTTCGTCAACGTTTTTTCAGCACCTGCAATGTTTGTATCACGTTCTGGCGTGCCTTGTCGCCGCTGATCTCCAACTCAACACCAAAAAATGCCGTTCTGCCACAAAAGCTATCAAGGTTTTGGGCCACGCCTTGACCAAAGACGGAATTCGGCCAGATCCGGATAAAATTGCTGCATGTGCTTTCTTTCTGCGCTCGGAAAGGCCGAAGGAGTTGCGAAGTTTTCTTGGTCTTGCCTCCTATTTTCGCCGTTTTTTATGAAACTTCGCATCAATAGAGGCTCCACCGCACCAGCCTCATGCTTCCAATGTGCCCTTTCTGTGTTCGGAAGAATGTCAAACGGCATTCGACCTGTTAAAGTGTGCTCTCACGTCCGAACCTGTACTTCGCCACTTCGATGAGGCCGCACCAACCATCCTACATACGGGCGCGCTAGCGGCCGTGGTATGGGTGCCGTTCTGCTCAAACGTGACACTTCTTCACAAGAGAGAGTAGTTGCATATGCCAGTAGAGTACTAACCACGACCAAGAATAACTATGTCATAACTGAGCAGGATTGCTTGGCAGTGATCCGGTCAGTGCAAAAGTTCCGTCCCTATCTCCACAGCCGTCATTTCACGAACGTTACGGACCACCACGCCTTATGCTGGCTTTCCACGCTGAAGAACTTGTCTGTACACTTGGGTGGATTCTACGTTTACAGGAATATGACTTAGATATCATTTATAAGTCCGGTAGAAAACACCAAGACGCCGACGCCCTTTCGTGCCACTCGCTACCACATAGCCAGCTCAGCATCGGTCAACCGCAACGCCTGCGCTCACCTCAATAGACCAGCTATTCTCGTACGACAAGCGCACACTTCGCTCCTGCCAGTTGTCTGATTCGTACCGTAGGCGAAGTATAGACCAGCTCTCAGAAGCTTCCCATCCATCTAACGCACGGCATCGTCGCCAGCTTTTGTGATTTCCCAGGTGGTCGAAATTTCTAAAGCCCTCCACTACAGCGTCTCTCATAATTATATGGTGGTTTTGGGACGTTAAACCCCACATATCAATCATCAACTTTTGCAATTTAAGCTGGAAAATGAAGTTCTGTACTGTCACATCTACCACCCTGATGGTCAATGCTGGGTTCTCGTGCTACCACGCTCTTCGACTTGACGTGCTTAAAGCCTTCCATGACGACTTGACTGTCGGCCATCTTAGTTTTCAAAAAACCCACGACCGCATTCTAAGTTGCTTCTACTGGTCTGGTATTTCTACTAGCATCGTGTGCTACGTCGGTTCCTTTGTCCTATGCCAGCATTGTAAAATCCAGACATCTACACCGGCCGGGCCTTTGCAGCCAATTCCATGCCCCACAACGCCATTTTAGGTTATAGGATATCGACCTTTACGGCCCTCTTCCCGTCACATCTACTGGCAAACTATAGATAGTGACCGCCGTAGACCACCTGACAGGCTGCACGGAGACGTCTGTGTCAACTGCCTCAGCTTCGGAAGTTGCCGACTTTGTTCTGCACGCCATCATTCTGCGCCACAGCGCCCCTTATGTATCACTGAGTGACCGTGGAAGGGTGTTCCTGTCAAAAGTATTGCGCACCTCTGGAATAACACACAAGAAAGCTTCAAGCTGTCATCCTCAGACCAACGGTCTCACCGAGAGATCTCACCGTACTTTCACTGATATGGTAGCCGTCTACATCAGTTCAGACCACCAATACTGGGATACCCTTCTCCAATTTCTCACCGTTGCCTACAACACGGCCGTTCAACTGCACCACCGGATATTCGCCGTTCTACCTCATTTATGGATGTTCCCCCACTTTCTTCCTCGCCATTTCCTTTTTCAACACCGACGTCAACTGGTCTCCGTCTCCTAGTGAGGAATACAAATCAAGACTAACCAAGTGTCGCGATCGTGCTCGCATCAACACAGAAGCGCGACAGCAAGATCGAAAGGTCATTTATGATGCATCCCATCGCCTTGTATTCTTCCGACCTGGTGACGAGTAGCTCCTGTTCACACCTATTCGTACACCTGGTCAGTGTGACAAGTTTCAGCCACACTTCATTGGGCCTTACATAGTTATCGAGCTGACTTCGCCCCTTAATTATCGTGTGACCCCACTTGTCGTCCCGAAAGACCGCGGTCACTGCACCTCAGAGGTTGTGCACGTAAATCGCATGAAGCCTTTCAGGCGACATTCTCTGTCGCATTGACTTGCCACAGCCAGGTTGGCCGCTTCCATGTGGGGAGAATTAGTGTGGGCATTCATTATGTGTTTCTTCTCATATATGCATTATCATAATTATCATCATCCGTCTGGGGGTCTGTCCTCATCTTCATTGGGTGTCACCACTATCATCATCGTGAGTGTGCGCGCTCTGTCTCAGACGGCCCGTTCGCTGATGAGTCCCTTGGGCTGAATAAACGCTGTCTCAACCCAGACGTCATAATATAGTGGTTTGAATAATAAGTGGGTATATTAGCATTTGTCTGTATTGTTGTTTGTTGGTTTTATTACAAATGTGCATTAGTACGTTCACCATGACATTACAGTCTTCTCCCAACTGCCTGGCAACCCCCTGCTTGGCTTTTTTACTTAGTATAATCTATTTATAGCAGTTCATTGCCTACAACAGTAGACATTTTGTGGCATATGAATATTGTTCATAGTAGGTACAACTGTAGTGTCAAACTGCTTGAGTTAGGTTAAAGTTGTTTTAGTAAAAGTGCACATAGAATGAAGGCCATGTTAGTATTAAAAGCATGGACTCACGCCTGTACACTTCTTCGTGTTGTTTTAGGGGCAAAGCTTCTCATACTTAATTTAACCTTGTCCTGCATAATGCGTAACCAGCAGTATCAGACAAACAGACAGACAAACAAATAGGTAGACTAACAGACAGACGGACGGACGGACAGAAGGACGTACGGATAGACAGATGGACGCAGGGATGGATGTGAGCATGGACGGAAGCACGGGCGGACGGAGTGATGCACGGACGAACGCACGGAGAGTCGAATAAACGGACACATAGATGGACAGACAGACAGACAGGCAGGCGGACAGACAGACAGATGGAGGCTTTGTCTCACTCATCATCATTCACTCTGTTGATGTGCTGTGATCTTTTTTTTCTGTGTGCCTATCCGAAAGTGGACGTTTCTGTAACGATATATACAACACGGAATTGGACTTCAAATGGTTATCATTTTCTGTCTTCTGCTTCCTTTTCAAACCTGTGTGCGGGCAAGCAGAGTAGCACAGTCTCCAGGAAGGCCGACTGAAAAAAGCCCGTCACCTAGTCGCATTCCAGTTCTGGGATCTGCTTACAGGTAAGGCAAGAAAATTTTTCTGGCGTGCTGCTTGGCTGCCAATTTTAGAATAGCTGTGAGGGACAAAGAAATATTAGCATCAAACCTCAACATAACGAACCAGGATATATGGAAATGTCGGTTATGACAAACTAAATGAAAAATAGTCACGCAATATCGTGTTAGGAATAAACCGTTAAAACGAATTTTCGTATACTGTAAAGAATTTATTTCTGCATAATGTGCCGCTTCGTTGCAATGAGGTTTAAATGTATATGCTGTTTCATGTGACAGGGGGGTATAGGGAATGAACCATTTATAACTACCTGTGCAAGCATACACCGTGGGCAACTGCGAAGGTGTAACAGTAAATGTGTTGAGTTAGGGCACTGCCAATAATTAAATTTTTTCTGATTGCTTTACTTTGTTACTGCCCTATGTTTAAGCAGCTTTGTCTAAGCTGGTTGTATTGACTGTTTTGCTAGCTGTTCTGTTTTTTCATGGTGAGGTGGTGAAACTTCATCGTTTCTGTGTGTGTATTAGACGCGAAGCAGCTCTTTTACTAGCCTGTGTAACGCTGTCCCTCTTTCCACACCGCTCTGGCTATCGCTGGCGTTGTGAGGGTTAGTTAAGCCGATCACGCTCACAAATGGCTTCGCCAAAGGCGCGAGCCAGGGAAGTTGTACGCAAGCGTCGGCAGTGGAAGACCAGCAACACCGACGAGGTGCGAGTCAAGAACATCGATCGCGTTCCAGAATACAAACGGCGCGCGGGTAACACTGACAAGATGCCAACCAAAGAAGCCGAGCGCAAGCTATTCACTGCGTCACACCACCCTTGTCTTTGCGTTTCAAACATGCGTTTGCTCGAGTAACGCTACACCGAGCTTCGCTTCAAAACAGTTCTTCCAGCACTCGCGTTTCAAAGAGTTCAAACAGTTCCAGCACGCCTGTTTCAACTGGGCCAACACTGTGCCCACCGCTGCTGCTTCGCATCCCATCAGGGTTGCCTTCCAGGAGATGGTCCATAGTTTTTTTTTTTTTTTTTGCTTACACACAAGTTGTGTCTTACAAGTGTGTAATGTGTTACACACTTGTAAGTGTTGTAATGTGCATAAGTAAATAAATAACTTCATGAACACTCATTTATGTATTGATATGTATATATTAGTATTTTGTATGCATTCACAGGAACAAGAGACAGTCCATGGAGCTCGTTGGAAAACCAGTTTCAAACTGAACCAGTAAACTTGTTCAATGAGTTGTCCGGTGACAGATTTTGCAGCCAATTTCATGGGGCTGCGTTACACTACGCTCAGACTGGTTAATTGTGACTGAAGTGGACGCAACGGCAAAGACTTTTCTTCTGCACTCCTTCATGTGTCTTTCTTGATGTTTTATAAGACATGTCATTGACATACTAGTTGCGAAAGCGTTGGCACAAGATTACGTGAACACAAGATGGATAGTTGTTGGGCAAAGTTGTGTCATCGTTGTCACCTGTTGGCAAGACGGGAAGCTAGCAAGGTTGTGTTGCGGTCATAATTCACTTGTCCGCAGTTGGCCACATCCAGTATGTGACAGTTGTCATTACATGCAGTATATCACGACTAGCATTCTCTCCTTATTGAGGAGACATGTTACCGTTCTTACTTGTTTGCAAGTGTCATGTTGGCTTGTTAAGCGTGACATTGTGACAAAAGGCGAACCTGTGTTTACTGAAGAAGGCATAATGTGGTGATGTTAGTGGCTGTCGAGCTTTACGGCATGGTCACAGTCTGCACCGTTAATGCAGCCGTGGCCAACACCCCATACCAATCAGTGGTTGCTGCAAGAGCGTTTTAAGTGGTGATGTAAGTCACATAGAGTTTGAAAGGTCAATCTTTTTTCAGAGGAGTACCAAAAATTTTGACTTAACTACAATCGGTGCTCCGTTTGAATATCGCACTGGAGCAATGCTGACAGCTCTGTGAAGAAAAAAAAATTTGAAGGAAGAACCGCGCACAAATACTGTACTTTTATCGTGTGAATTCACGGATGGGGGGAAGTAGTGGGTTGTAGACACCACCGGTGGAATAGGCATCACTTCTTGTTGAAATTATTTGATTGAATTGTACATTTTATCTTGCTCTCGCAATCCTGTGATGAGATTACCAACAGTGAATTCATAATCTTAGCAACACTTTTAACTAATGACATTCACAGACTTGTTCATAGAATTTAATTTCTAAAGTACAGGCTTGTGCGAATAGTGAATTTCAGGGTCAAAGCGTATTTGAAGCGAATAGTGATTTTAGTCGAATAACTTCAAAACGAATTCGAATAGTATGTATGACATATAAAAAAAGGGAATATTTGTCATAATCTAACTAACATGCTCAATACTTCTTTTCAATTGAAATAGGGGCTCTATGCAAATGACTTTTTTTTTTCGTTGAAAGGAAGTCGAAACAACCTTGATTAGCAGTTTCGGTAGGATCCGAGTGATAACCTGCAAGATACATAACGTTTTAACATTTATTATACTTAAATCATATAAACCATCATAACAAGCTTAATAAAATGAATAATTAATTTGAGGGTAACATGTTCCTTTAAAGGGGCCCTGCAACACTTTTTCAAGTATCCATGGAGCCAGTAAACATGCTTGCCGCCTCAAAAATTTACCGCCGCAAAGTTTCTAGAATCAGTCCAGTACGAGCCGAGTTCCAAAAATTTGTCGCGTGCTGCAATTGCATTCTCCATTCTCGACCCGTCAAAAGAGCTGGAAGCTAAGTAGGGAAGAATGGCATGGGAAAAGAAAAAAAAAACATCATCAGCGCCTAGTGACCTTGAGCATTTTTTCACTCTCTTTTTTCCTCGAATACGAGGCCTTTCAGTGCGATCCTGCACGTATTTGTGGACAAGTGGCGGCCTCACGCGGCGGTCCGATAACGACGAGCGCGCCATGCTCAAATCAGCCAATGACTGTGACCAGAGCCGTATTGTCTTTCTTGGCTGTGACAAGTGATTTTTGAGCTCGTAGTGTCATTTGCCGAGGGAAGAAAGCAATTTTTAGCTTTGAAAATTCGTTGTGAATTTCAGGCAGCGTGCTGCGCTATAATACTTGCCTCGCGTGTTCTCGGTAGCCTCGACTACCGATCGGCAGCGTTTTCTGACCATGCTCAGGAAGTGTTGCAGGGCCCCTTTAAATCTGAAGGGGGGCTTTGCGGCAAAGCAAATTTCTTTTGAGTAGGTGCTTTCACGGCTTTGCACTACTACATTGCAGTGAAACCACCCTTACAGGCGGACTAATGTACATTTGTTTGTTCATTTCAAATTATTCGAAAATATTCGATAATTTAAAGTTCGAAATTGAAGCGAATTCGAATACTCACCTATTTGTTCAAGCATTCGAATATTCACATAAGCCTACTAAAGTATATTCATATGTGTGAGTGTGTGTTGTAGAACATTTCACAGAAGTTGGGAATGCTCACATGCATTGGAAATTTACTGAACTTGTGTCACGAGTGCAGCTTGATTAGAAAAGTCGAGAATTTTTTGGCACAGTGAACCCTATAGAAGGGTGACTTGACGGTCAGTGATAATTATCTGAAAATGATCACTGGAAAAGTGTTACATGTGGCTGCCTTGCCATTTGTTGACACCTAGTGAATACGCACTTCTAAGATAACGAGCAAATGCTGAGCATTACATCATGCGAAAGCGATGCTGGAAGCATGTGGAGTTTCACGAGACCTGTTTCGTTGTATTAACTCTGACATCAAACTGCAACTGAACCTGAATTTAATGATCAAAATAGGATGTACTTCAATATGTCAATAACTCAAAGTGTGCTATATGCCTGTGTGAATCTGTTCAAGAACACCTCAACCTCTCTATTTGTCTCGTTAAGTCACAAAAAACACGAATTCACTGTAGTTATCGAAAGCCATGTTACAGCCATAATATATAGCTGATGTTTCGTTTTTACCTTCAGAACATTTATAGCAGTCTGGGAGATGCTTTGAACTCTTGAAGCAGCTTGACACTCTTCTTTTTTCTCAGTAACATACATCTATATGTATGTTTCACTGTGCTGCATTTAGTTATTTCTCCTGGCAAGAGTGTCGGCAGGATTTAGTCTTGGGGGCGAAAACCCATGTTACATTGTGGCCAGGGGATAGCAGAGCACTGGTGGGCCTTTGTTGGGTTGCAAATGCTGGTTTGGCTTGAAAAGCCAAGTGCCCTTTTTACGCACCCCCCAACCGTTGCAGACACCCATGTCTCCCCATGACATTTATCACCGCATCGTATGACGGTACTACAGTAAACTTTGCTTGAACAGTTTATCGTTATTGAGTGCAAATTTCCTTCTGTGGGAGTTGTGCATATTTTGAAAGATATGTTGTCTGTTTTTAGTCCACGAAATTGCACAAGCCTTCAAATTGTGTGTCATGCTTAGTAGCATCTGCTAAAAAAGCATTGTTTTATTGGGAATATTATTGATGATTATGTAAAAGTTGATTGCAGGACGGCCCGGCTGTGGTATTTCATATACATGCACTGCAGTGCTACAGAGAATGCAAAAAAATTTTCTTTATATGGAATGTTTTGATATATTTGGGCTCAAGTGTAAAGGAAAGTCTGGTTGCTAGTACACATAAAATGTCTCACTTTCGTCAGGTCTCACATTTCGAAGTTGTCATGTTAGTTATTTCTGTAACAGAACTGCACAGAAACAACTTTCTTTGCATATTAATGATAATAACTCTGTCATATTTGCATCGTTCTGTGAAAGCCCGGTCACGTTTACTGTAGACAGCAGTTTTTGTGAGGACTGTGTGTATATGTGTTGCGTTTCGAAGAATTTTTGGATGCATTCGTTGCCTAGCAGCCAATACCCTTACTAGGGATGTTGTGGGAAATTCCATAAATGTGCTCTTATCATTCTTAATTCATTGATGTTGTTTTCTGATTTGTTCTTTTGTAAACTTTATTTTGTTCACATTTAAATCATCACTCACAACTGCTATTTTGCAGTTACGGACAGTTTTAAACATTTCACTTAGCTTTAGCTAGCAGTGATTTGTGCAGTTTCTCGAGTGTACCATTAGGACTTTTTCATTGATGATACATGGTATTGTTTGCAGGCTTGTTTCGTTTAAAGATTTTTTCCATTTCAGGGCATTCACGTGACAACTGAAGTTTTGAAGCTTTAATCAGTTCAAATAATTTCGCTTCATTTTAGGCGTGCCCTGCGACACTTCGATTCAAGCATGATAACATACGACGCATGAAAAAGCCTGTTGCAGGGATCTCACTTTTGTGCCGAACGAGATTTGCTTAGCCAACCTGGTAAAATCGACGGATTTTGCGCCAAACTGCCCATCTCAGGGTTCTGCAACCTGTCTCCCGTGGGCCGCATGTGGCTCGATGGGCAGTTTTATGCAGATCCTGGCATGACGTCAGAAATGATAAAATCGCTATACACTGTAGTTGCGGCAGTATTTAACTAACTATAATTAATGTTTTAATTAGCAGAGCCAGCTGTCGAGTCTAATGCGAGAATTTTTTACCTTCCTACGAACAGACCTATAACACCTATATACTAGGTGTTAAGACGACAACGACTGCGTTTTGGCTGCTACGCTCTGCGCCGCAGCGTGGCCAGCATGTGACGAGAAAGGAGGAGCGTTTCCATGCGGAGGAGAGCAGATCGGGGTTTGAGAGATAACCAACACTTCACGGCAGCTTTTTTTTTTCTCTCTCTCTCTTCGCACACGGCGTTGGAAGGAGAAGGTTCTCTACGTGTCAGGGACGAAAAAGGGGGAGGCGTGGCACCGGCGCGTCGCAGATCGGCGTTTGAGAGACAGGCAAAACTCCGGGGAAGTGCTGCGCCTTTCTTCCTTTTCCAACCACTACCACCACCACTCCGCGACAGCTTTTTTCTTTTTTTTTCCCTCTCTCTCCGCCGCATTATAAACAAATTTGAGAGGCCTTCATCTAAGCGCACAGTAGAGTCTCAGTGATACGAAACTGCGACAGATACAAATTCGTGAAATTCCCCAGCCAAATTCATGTGTCCATTGGGCCAAAAATCGAATGTTCCGAACACTTTTCCTAATCGCGGCATGTGATATGAACTTTGGTACTAAAATCGTCAAACAAAGGCTGATCAAGAGCAGCGTGCTCGAAGCTTCGGAAGTACGTGTGCGACCACCACACGCACTGTCTTGCGTGTGGTTGTCGTTCCCACAACTGCTTTGGATGAAACCGCGGTCGTTCGACACGATCATGTATGGCGACGACGTTACTGACAGAACTCCTGAAGTGTGTGTGCGGCCAACGTTCGACCAGTCAGAGCATCGCTGCTCTCCACAAACTCGTGGAGAAAACCGCGGCAGTTGCGACCATAGATAGCATAAAATGACTT